TCTCTACAATAAATCAAAAAATCAGCCGGGCGTGGTAGCGCATGCCTGTAATTCCGGCTCCTCGGAAGGCTCGCCGGAGCCCAGCAGGTCGAGGCTGCGGTGGCCGGGAGCGGCCACTGCACTCCAATCTGGGCGACAGAGTGAGACTCCAACTCAAAAAAAAAAAAAGATTGTAATTGCTAATTATCATGAATATGATTGTAAAATAACCTTGCTGAGGCTGGGCGCGGTGGCTTAAGCCTGTAATCCCAGCACTTTGGGAGGTTGAGGCAAGAGGATTGCCTGAGTCCGAGGATTCAAGACCAGCCTGGGTCTACAATAAATCAAAAAATCAGCCAGGGGTGGTAGCATGCGCCTGTGTTCCAGCTACTAGGAAAGCTGAGATGAAAGAATTGCCTGAGCCCAGCAGATCAAGGCTGCAGTAGCCATGAGTGTGCTACCACACTCCAGCATGGGCGACAGAGTGAAACTCCAACTCAAAATAAGTAAATAAATCAATAAATAATAAAATATCTTTGTTGAACGGGAGTAAAAGAAAGGATGGTAATCTCAACTTTCCAGTCACCTGGCATAATTTACTGGCAATAACTTGTAAGGAGAATAAAAGCAGCACTTAATACCAAATGATTAAACACCACAGAGTATGTTGCAATCCCACCCACAGCTGTGAGTTTATCTTCCTGGAAGAGGAAGTGAATGACCACAGGCCTCCCCCCATGGCACAGCTGTTGTATCCCCAGCTGAAAGCTGGTCTAGATAACATCCTGTTCTGCACAGTGAATGAACACAGCAACCCCAGGCTTGGCCACACTGGGTCTGGCTCTTTATATCTTGGTGTTTGGAAATGTTGTGAGATAACCACCTGTCTAGTAGGGCTTAGGAAATGAGAGATGAGCTGGGAGGACAACAAATAACAATACAGAACTTGATCCAAGTATTATCCCATAATGTTGTTTCTAGTGGCAGCAAGGAAATAATACAGTTGACCCTCCAACAACACGGGTTTGAACTCAGCAGATCTGCTTATACACAGCTTTTTTCAACCAAACATGGATGGAAAATACCGTATTCTTGGGATGTGAAACCCCAGGACATGGAGGGCCAACCTTTAATGTATATGGTTCCACAGGGTCCACTGCGGAACTTGGGTCATATGAGGGGCAGTCCCGGAACCAATCACTCGCATACTGAGGGAACACTGTAATAAAGTTCAGATGTGAACGAACATTTATTGTAAACCAGACACTTTGCTAAGCACTGTTTGTATGTTACCCTATCTCTCACCCCTCAGAGGCAGCCATCCAACTGGGGTTCAGTTAGAGTCACATGGCAGGTATGTGGCAAAGCCAAGACTTGAGTCAGGTCTGTCTTACTCAAGTCCAAGCTTTTAAGCAACATGTTCTCATATGTCCTCAAGCAGACAAAATCCCCAAAGAAAAATTCTTGGTCTCCAACTTGATTTAGCTGCTTAGCCCAGCATACAGTGGGACCCTGTATCAGTGTGTCCCACCTGTCTACTTTGCTGGTATTCTGACGAGTTCCAGAATCATTCATTCACCAGAGGTCCAGTCCTTCCACACAGTCTGCTTATTTCACGAGACATATGAATGTCCTTTATTTTTGTGTCAACTCATGACACACGAATAAAGGAGCATCTTTGCTCTACTCTTGAATAGGCATGGACGCTTTATCAAACACATGATTAAGGTTTTGTATTCAAAGAGGCTGTGGAGTAGATCAAACCCTGTAAGTCAGTCTCTGCTTGGTGTCTAACAGCTGGGTCTTTGGCAAACTGACTCTTAGCAGACACCTTCCAATTCACTGTTGCTAAGATAACTGCAAATGACTAGGTGTGGTGGCTCAAGCCTGTAATCCCAGCACTTTGGGAGGCTGAGGTGAGAGGATTGCCTGAGCCTGTGGGTTCAAGACCAGCCTGGGCAACGTGGTGAGACCTCCTTTCTACAATAAATCAAAAAATTAGCTGGACGTGGTAGCTCGCGCCTGTAGTTCCAGCTACTTGGTAGGCTGAGGTGGAAGGATCGCCAGAGCCCAGCATGTTGACGCTGGGGTGGCCGTGAACGTGCTTGCACTCCAGCCGAGGTGATGGAGTGAGACTCCTACTCAAAAAAAAAAAAAAGATAACTGCAAATGCTTACCTGTAATAAACTAACCTGTAATGATCTCCTTGTTTCAGTCTCCTAGGCAGCAAGTTGGGAGACTGATCCCTATAATTGTAACTGGTAAGAGTGGCAGTTAATATTTGTGAACAAGTAGTAAGTATATTTTAAAATCAGGTTTGTAAAAAAGGATTCAGATTGATTTATATGCCACATTCATTCCACACCATTTCATTCATTTTATTTATTTATTCATTTATTTATTTATTTATTTTAAGAGATATGTTCTTGCTATGTTGCCCAGGCCAGTCTTGAACTCCTGGCTCAAGCAGTCCTTCTGCCTCGGGCTCCCAAAGTGCTGGAATTACAGGTGTGAGCCACTGTGCCTAGCCTCATTCATTTATTCTAAATACCAATATAGTATGTCTTGTGTGTACCAAGTAGTGATAAAGTGACTGGAAAGAAGCCGGGCTCGGTGGCTCAGCCTGTAATCCCACACCTTTGGGAGGCTGAGGTGAGTGGATTGCCTGAGCCCGCGGGTTCAAGACCTGCCTGGGCAGCGAGACCTCATCTCTACAATAAATCAAAACAAATCAGCCGGGCATGGTAGCGCATGCCTGTAATTTCGGCTTCTTGGAAGGCTGAGGTGGAAGGATCGCCAGAGCCCAGCAGGTTGAGGCTGCGGTGGCCGCGAGCAGCCACTGCTCTCCAGTCTGGGCGACAGAGTGAGATTCCAACTCAAAAAAAAAAAAAAAAGTGACTGGGAAGCTAAAATTTCTGGAGGTCTGTTTATTTTGAAAGGATCTTAGGAATTATCTTGCTTACAGTTCTCAACATGGACCATGCATAGATGTCAGGGAAGTCTGTGGATGCCCTGAAGTTGCTTTATGACTTTGAAATACGGAACTCTTTTGCATTTTTCTGGAAAAGTTTCACTTGCTTTCTTTGTATACTCAGAGGGGTCTATATTCTAGTTTAATGCACTTATATTACAGATAAGGATACTAAAGTTCATGAAATCAACTCAATTGCCTGATAGCACATAGCAAGAATTCACTAGGGGCTGGGCAGGGTGGCTTACGCTTTATAATCCTAGCACTTTGTGAGGCCAAGGTAGGAGAATCACTTGAGGCCAGGAGTTTGAAACCAGCCTGGGCAACATAGTGAGACCCCTGTCTCTACAAAAATAAACAAAATTAGCAAGGCATAGTAGTGCACAATTATAATCCCAGCTACTCAGGAGGCTGCAGCAGGAGGATCCTCTGAGCCCAGGAGATTGAGGCCGCAATGAACCATGATCCCGTCACTATACTCTAGCCTGGGAGACAGAGTGAGAACCTGTCTCAAAAAAAAAAAAAAAAAAAATCTTAAACTTCAATCTATTTGACCTTAAAATAAGAATGACAGAAGTATCTGCCTCAAATAATTGTGATAATTAAATAATATGTGAGAATTGCCTAGTGTAGGACCTTATAAGGCTTGTTATAGGGCCTTGTTTGAGGAATTTGATGAATAGGAGATATTACTATTTCTGTTTCCAGCACCGAGGAAGGAAAGGTTTACTATAAATCTTGTCTTATTGCCCATAAAATGAAGTTCAAATTCCTTAGCATGATTTCTAAAGCCAAGTTTATCATATGTGAACGCCTTAATTTCCTGCACCCTGAACTGCAACCACAGTGAACTTGCTAGAGCTTTTCTATCCCTGTTTTCTCTGCCTCAGAATCTTCCCTCTGATCATTCTTCCAGACCTAGCATCAATGCCCCTTCTCTGGGAAGCCATTCTTTGCTCTCTTATGACGTTATTTGTTCTTTTCTTTGGTGCACCCGTGGAAGTATACCTGTCCCAGTTAGAACTCATCACCTTGTATGGCAATTTGTTTACCTATCACCTTTGCTAGGTACAAAAGTCAGAAGATCAGAAATCCGTACTTCTTATCTCCACGTTCTTCTGGTGCTTGATGCATGGTTGGTACCCAGCCAAACTGGTGAATAAATTGAATAACTATGAGCAGAAGCACTGTAGATGCTGAAAGTTGTTTTGGAGGATAAATAATGAAATTTGATGTTTGATTTTTATTTATTAAAATCTCATCTAGCTCATAGGAGTGAAGACCAATGTTATCAAGTGATATTTACTATTGCTTTACTTGCTGTACGTCTATAGAACAGATTTCTTATGATTCTCTGAGAAATTTGATCTTGCCTTTCTGTTGTCCTTTTATCTTCCAGATTCCAGTGACAGCCATCCCTTGCCATAATTTTTTACCTATATTTGGAAAAATACTGGCCAGCGGAAAAATGATAAAGTTTTTCCTCATGGTGAATAAGCAAGGGCAGACTCGACTTTCTAAGTACTATGAACATGTGGATATTAGTAAGCGTACACTTCTGGAAACAGAAGTCATAAAGAGCTGCCTCTCTCGATCCAGTGAACAGGCAAGTTTCTGATACCATCTCTGCATTTAACTCAGCCTTGGCAGATCTGTTGTTATTGAGTCTTAAGGGCCACTGTTTTCTTTGAACTATATTCCTTCAGCAGCATTTAGGGAAAATAAGGAATGCTATGAAATGAAGACTGAAGGAAGAGTAGCTCTCTTGACATCTCTTTAAGAAAAATAAAAACAAGGAAAACCAGGAAAAGCCTTGGGTTATTATGTAGATCAGCGTATTTGTCTCAATACATCATGGAAGTGGCAAGTACATTTACTCCTCTTTTTTTTTGAGTTGGAGTCTCACTCTGTCGCCCAGACGGAGTGCAGTGGCCGCTCCCGGCCACTGCAGCCTTGACCTGCTGGGGTCCGGCGATCTTTCCACCTCAGCCTTCCGTGTAGCTGGAATTACAAACATGCGCTACCATGCCCGACTGATTTTTTGATTTATTGTAGAGATGGGGTCTCGCCAAGTTGCCCAGGTGGGTCTCGAACCCGCAGACTCAGGCAATCCACTCACCTCAGCTTCCCAAAGTGCGGGATTACAGGCTGAGCCACCGAACCCCGCTGAGACTAGTGATTTAAAAGCAAAACAAATGATATGAAGTTGTCTTATTATGTAGATAGAGGAAATGGAAATTAAAAATTCATGTGAAACCACAAACCTCTTTGTTCTGCCAAAATGGAGGTTAAGTAAAATCATTAAAATAATAATAAATAGGAATTTTTACACTGAGTCTATTTTTACAAGTAACTTTAATGAGAGAATTACTTAATCCAAGGCCTAAATATCAAATCCACTGGAAATCACTCAACAATTGAGGCAAAATCAGAAAGCTTGTTTAACTTGCCATTAATTTCGTCAGGTCTCCAGTTCACTGTAGATGTGGGCACCACTGCTAAGTCATAAAATATTAAGCTACATCAGTGCTCAGATGTAACATGTTGCAAATATGTCTCCCTTGGCTTCTAAATTGATTTTCCAGTTGGAACATCTCAGAGTTCCTCTTTGAGTTACCACTTTGGCCTGCCTTGGCACACACTGCTTTATGTTGTTAGACAAAAACAGAAACTGTTAAAGGGCTGTGTTAATAGCCACATACTTTAAGTAAAGGTAAGCACACCATTAGAAACATTTCTGTTTGGATCTTTCCACAGGGTGCAGGCACTCCAGAACTTCAAACATCGTTTTCACTTACAGGCTATCCTTTGAAATATAAGCTTGAAAAATAAGCTTGACATGGATATACTGTTAGATATTTTTGACGCATTCTAAATTATTTTAGATTTAAAAGGAACCCACTGGCTTTTGGCATAATCAGGCACCAAAGTAGCATAATATCAGCTTAGTTTTTATCCACAAAGGTGCTTTGATCCTTCTTTTTAATGTCAGAAACTCCTGAGAGGCTTTGAAAAGATGTTCCTCAGTTCCTTCCAATAGGTTGCGTGTCCTTGAAAGATCCAGCTGAGCTGAAGTCACACTGGCTCTACGGTGAGCCAAAAGCTACAGAACGGTTCTGTACTCATTACCTTTATCCTGGTTTTAAATAAAAGCCTCAAATCTCTCCTTTTTGTAGATTGTCAAATGGCTTTCCCATAGAGGAATTTCCATGATCAAAACTTGCAGCTTCATTCCCAGCTGCATCCGGACACCCAAGAGCAACAGATTCCAGTACAAAAAGCCATAAAGTTCATGCTCAATCGCATTTGGTCAACCATACCCTACAGTCCAAAGGAAGAGTAACACTGTGCCTTTACCCTGCTGTCCCCTTCCCATCTACTCAGCCCTCCCATAACTCTTTGGACAATGGCTTTAAGAGAGGGATGAATGAGAAGGGAGTTGTTTTATCCACATGTCAGCGGTGGTAAGCTCGTTATTAATTCATGTGAAGCAATGTTTACAATGGGAGATTTTTCTCTAACATCTGCCACATAAAGGCCATCTTTAAATAATTTTAAAAAGGATCTACATGGGCCAGGCACGGTAGCTCATGCCTATAATCCCAGTACCTTGGGAGGTCGAGGTGAGAGGATCGCCTGAGTTCATGGATTCGAGACCAGCCTGGGGAACTTGGTGAGACCTCATCTCAACAATAAATCAAAAAATTAGCCGGGCATGGTGGTGCACACTTGTAGTTCCAGGTACTTGGTAGGCTGAGGCGGAAGGATCACCTGAGCCCAGCAGGTTGAGGTGCAGTGGCTGTGAGTGTGCCACTGTACTCCAGCCTGGGCGACAGAGTGAGACTCTGAGTCAAAAAAAAAAAAAAGAAAAAGAAAAAAAAAGAATCTACATTGATTCTTTCCATGGGTCTAGGAAAAAAAGCATCCAGTTTTTTTGTATGCTCTTTGTATTTGGCTCCTCAATGACTATTCAATAGTACAAAACTGAAAATATCTAATTGCTTCCCAAAAAGCCATGTGGAGGTGGGAAGAAGAAAAATCTTTCTCGTGTTTGCTTATTTTCACATTGGAGGCACTTTAAAATGCTGGTTATTCATTATCTTTGCCTGCCAAGTTCCACACAGAGCCAAGCAAAGGATTAAGAAGTGGGAACCCCTGGAGCACTGAGACGTTTTCCCAAGGCTTCTCCAATTCCCACAAGAGGTACTTCCAAGGAGTCCCCTGAAAGTTGTGAAAGGGCCCACGATGCTTTGTGTGAAACATTTTAAGGTTCCATATCTCTAGGAGTGTGTTGGCAATACTCAAATCAGAACCTAGTATTTATGCATGCCATTTTGAGGAAATCTCTGTCAACCACAAGAATTAATGTCTTACTGTGTTTCATCTAGTGCTCTTTCATTGAATATAAGGATTTTAAGCTGATATATCGGCAGTATGCAGCACTCTTCATTGTGGTTGGAGTTGATGACACTGAGGTAAGATGATAGAAGGATCTGTGGAAAACACAAGAAAATTAGGAATTACAGTTTGACCTTTATTCCTCCTTAAATTGACGTTTTCTTTCTACTTGCCTCCCCAAGAATTATTACGACTTTTTTGAAAGCTCTTGATTTTTATCAAGACTGAAGAACAGACTGTGTAGAAGAGAAATACCTAGGATGTTGCTTAGATTAGATGAGCAGCTTGCCAAGTGGAAAAGCCCCAAACCACAGAAAACATCCTCTGTCCTAAGCAATACCAGCACCCTACCCTTATTCTGTTGTGCAGTGGAACAATTCAGACAAGTATAGAGGCCAGTGGATTTTGGTATTAAACATGGGCTGCCATATCAAAGCCAGAGAAAACCATAAATATTATCGTGTCCAGCCTAGGCAACATAGTCTGTGTCTCAACAACAACAGCCAAAAAAGTAAAAAATTAGCTGGACGTGGTAGTATGCGCCTATAGTCCCAGCTACTTGTCTGATGGGCAGGAGGATTGCTTGAGCCCAGGAAGTCGAGGCTAGAGTGACCTATGATTATGCACCTGCGTAACAGAGTGAGACCCTGTCTCTTAAAAAAAAATTATTTTTTTAGAGCAGGAAGGGGAGGGGGCTGGGAGAAAAACAAACAAACAAAAATTATTTTTAAATAAAATAGATAAATATCATAATGCTGTGATGAGATCGCCTCAGATTTAGTTCACCTCTTCAGAAATTACAGCATAGGCTGGGTGCGGTGGCTCAAGCCTGTAATCCCAGCACTTTGGGAGGCCAAGGCAAAAGGATTGCTTGAGATCAGGGGTTCAAGAGAGGCCTGGGCAACTTGTTGAGACCTCGTCTCTACAATAAATCAAAAAATAAGCCGGACATGGTAGCACACACCAGTAGTTCTGGCTACTTGGAAGGCTGAGGCGGAAGGATTGCCTGAGCCCAGCAGGTCGAGGCTCGGTGGCTGTGAGAGTGTCACTGCACTCCAGCCTGGATGACAGACTCCGACTCCAAAAAAAAAGAAATGACAGCTCCAGGTCAGCAGCACATATTGCCATGGCAACTCTGAAAGGATGTTTCAGATCCAAAATACTTTCAGATCTCAGTTGATTGTTTATTATCCATGACTCAAACTTTGAAGTAGCCTTGCCATCTTCACAAATGGAAAAATGATGACATGAAGAACCTAAAAAATTGCTTCAGCCAGTGGGTGACGGAGTCAGGGAGTAGATCCCAGGACTCTAAACACTGGACTCTAAGGTTTCAATACAGCCAGACTCATCATAGGCTTAAAAAATATGATAGCCCCGTGCCTTTGGGAGGCTGAGGTGAGTGGATTGCCTGAGCCCGCTGGTTCGAGACCCGCCTGGGCAGCAAGACCTCATCTCTACAATGCATAAAAAAATCAGCCGGGCGTGGTAGTGCGCGCCTGTAATTCTGGCTACTTGGAAGGCTGAAGCGGGAGGATTGCCGGAGCCCAGCAGGTCAAGGCTGCGGTGGCCGGGAGCGGCCACTGCACTCCAGTCTGGGCGACCGAGTGAGACTCCAACTCAAAAAAAAAAAAAAAAAATAAAAAAAAAAATATATATATATATATATATATATATATATATGATAGAGGTTAATGTTTTCTGCATTTTCCCCATTGGGAAACATCTTTTAAGTAAGTGAGTAATAGAACTGTTCTGAGTATGTGTCCGTGGGAAGCTACTTTGCTCACATTACCTATTCACTAAGCCACATGCTCTAAAACCAGGCAGTGACTGGGCCACACTAAAATAAATTGCACCCTTCTTTCTCTATTTCAGAATGAGATGGCTATTTATGAATTCATCCATAACTTTGTGGAAGTTTTAGATGAGTACTTCAGCCGAGTGGTAAGTATAATGGCTAAAAAATGGTTTTCTTCCTCAATCCAGTTTCCCAGAAATTGAGTCTCTTTGGATCTATATCAAGAACATGTGTTAACACAGAGCTTTAATAAGTAAAAGTTGGCCAGGCTCGGTGGCTCAGCCTGTAATCCCGTGCCTTTGGGAGGCTCAGGTGAGTGGATTGCCTGAGCCCGCGGGTTTGAGACCCGTCTGGGCAACTTGACGAGACCTCATCTCTACAATAAATCAAAAATCAGCCGGGCTTGGTAGCGCATGCCTGTAGTTCCGGCTACTCAGAAGGCTGAGGCGGAAGGATCGCCGGAGCCCAGCAGGCCGAGGCTGCGGTGGCCGGGAGCGGCCACTGCACTCCCGTCTGGGCGACAGAGTGAGACTCCAACTCAAAAACAACAACAACAACAAAAGAAATGTTGTATACCTGTATCATTTAATATGATAAGCACTAGCCGCATGTGGCTCTTGAGTACTTGAAATGTGACTGATGTAACTGAGAAAATGAAATTTTAATTTTGCTTAATTTTATGAATTTTAATTTGGACAGCCACAGGAGGCTGTTGGCTACCATTTTGGACAGCATAGCTCTAGCGCTTATTTCTCATGTCGACTACTCTCTTGTTAAGATGGACAGATTGTCCAGGCATGGTGGCTCAAGCCTGTAGTCCCAGCACTTTGGGAGGCCAAGTTGAGGGGATTGCCTGAGCCCACAGGTTCGAGACCAGCCTGGACAATTTGGTGAGACCGCATCTCTACAATAAATAAATCAAAAAATTAGCCGGGCATGGTGGCACACACATGTGGTTCCAGCCACTTGGAAGGCTGAGGCAGAAGGAGATCGCCTGAGCCCAGCAGGTCAAGGCTGCAGTGGTCATGAACATGCCACTGCACTCCAGTCTGGGCAACAGAGTGACACTCTAACTCCCCCCCCAAAAAAAAAGACAGCCTGGGTGCAAGGCAGGATCTGTGATTCAGAGCTGGCCACGATTAGCCACTTTCAGGAGACACCCACCGAGAAGAATATAATTTCCCCAAATAACAATGTTTTAAACCTGGGAGAATAAAGAGTGGGTACAAATGCTATCATTGCTAAGGCTTTTCAAATTATTATTATTACATTCAGTAACTGAGAATAAATAGCACGTTGCTGCATTATAGCTGTAATTTTAGGGAGAGAGTCAGTGACCACATGAACCACAGAAGCCACGGTTAGAATTTAAGCCAGGTGATTATGCAGGACTTGGACCATACTAAGGGATGACTGGGTTTAGGATTACACCACAGCAAGAGGAAGAGGAAGAGGAGAAAGAAGATAGGCTCTGTCCCTCTCACAGAGAATGCCTTGTCATCTAAGATTTATTTTTAGGTTTGTTAGTTTTACACATTCTTTTGGTGGCAATTTTAAATCTTAGAGAATTTCCAAATCTTAAATTTGGAGATCAGTCTCATGCTGTCAGCTGAGAGAAACATCACTTTTTTTTTAAGAGACAGGGTCTCGCTCTGTTACCTGGGCTTGAGTGCAGTGGTGCAATTTTGGCTCGCTGCAGCCTCAGACTCCTAGGCTCAAGTCATCCTCCTGCCTCAGCCTCCCAAGTAGTTGAGACTATAGGCATGCACTTTCACACCTGGCTAATTTTTTTTTTTTTTTTTTTTTGGTAGAGACAGGGGATATCGCTATGTTGCCTGGACTGGTCTTGAACTCCTGGACTCAAGCAATCCTTCTGCCTCAGCCTCCCAAAGCAGTTGGGATTACAGGCATGAGCCATTGCACCCAGCCTAGCATCACATTTTTAGAACAAAAAGTCAATCCAACTAGCTTCAAAAGAGGCTGTTGGCCATTGAGAAAGTAGAAGGGTGTTTTTCAGTGTGGCATTTGACAAACCTAAAGTTCTTTCATATTTGAACTTAATTTTGTTTACTTTTTTCTCCTCCTTTGACTTTTTTTTTTTTTTTTTTGAGTTGGAGTCTCACTGTCACCCAAACTGGAGTGCAGGGGCCGCT